GGAGTCACAGGGGAGGAGTCACGGAGGGAGACAAGGGAGTGACACGGGGGGTTGTCACGGAGGGAGAGTCATGGGAAGACACCCACAGGGGTATCACTGGGGGATTCATGGGGGGAGTCATGGTGGGAGACCCACAGTGGGAGTCAGGCCAGGAGTCACAGGGGAAGACATGCAGAGAGATCCACAGGGAGACACCCACGGCAGGAGATGCATGGGGAGAAACACGTGGAGACAACCACAGGGCGAGATCCATGGGAAGGGTCACGGGGCGATACCCACAGGGAGACCCTCGGGGAGAGACTCAGAAAGAGAGAGACCCACTGGGAGAGAGCCATGGGGTGACCCATGCAGGTACCCACAGGGACACCCACGGGGACATCCCCAGGGAAAGAGCCATGGGAAGACACCCATGGGGAGACTCGTGGGAGATCTCCACAGCAAGAACCACAGGGAGACTGTAGACACTCCACAGGAGATCTGCTCCTGCCCCAGCCAGAGCCCCTCTCCCATTCCGTGGACACCCATTTCCCACCCCTCAGACACCTCTCCCACCCCTCAGACAATCCCCGTCCCTCCCCACGGACTCAACGGGACAGGAGACGGGCGAAAGGCGAGCCCGGCGCCGGCCGTGTCCCCGCGGGGAGGCGGCTGCTGGCCCGGAGTAACCAAAGTCATCTTTATTAATTGCGGCGGTTCGTTACAATAAAAAGGGAGCCACGTGTCACGGTCACTGCACGGCGCTGGCCGGGCCGGGGGGCCGGGGGGGCCCTTCCCAGGCACATCCCTAAATCCGAGGTGCAGGGGGAGCGGGGTGGGGAAGGGCTTTGGGTGGCTGAGTGGGCGCTGCCGTCACGGAGGTGTTTAGCACCGAGGGACCCCAGCGAGGCGTCCTCCTGCTTGGCCCCGGCCCCCCCGGCTGCCTCCGGCCCCACCGCCCTGCCCGAGGGCCTGGCGAGGTTTGGCCCCGGATTTTGGGAGCTGCCTGGAACCCACCGGCCCTGCCTTGGGGGTGGCTGGTGATGCTGCGTGGGGCTGCTGGCGTGGCGAGGGACAGGGGTGGGGTCCTTCCCCCTTCTGCCACCAAAAGGGACAGTGGGGGCCACAGGATGCTTGGAGAAGGACTGCAAATGGGGATAAGGACAGGGATGGGGCAGATGCAGCTTCCTGCCCCACCACACTGCTCTGCCCTGCAGGGGACCACCGGGGCACCCCCCACCCTGTTCCAGGCTCTGTGCACAGCGATGGAGGAGCTGGGAGCAGCCACATCCAGGGGTGTCCCTTGGCCCCAGGGGGCACCAGGTACATGACAGCCCCATCTTGGGTTGTCCCATCCTGCAGGGCACCAGGAGCTCGGGGAGAAGGAGTGACCCGCCAGGGGGATCTCTAGCAGCCCCACACTCAAGGGGTGGCTGCTGGCCATGTCCACGCTCCCGTCCCAGCCAGTGGTGCCGAACCCAGCTGTGGTCCCTGGCACCGCAGGTAGGAACGGGCTGCGGGCAGGTCTCCCACTGCTGCCGCCTCGCTCACACACCGGGGAAGGGTCTCCCACCTGCAGCAAGGCACAGGGGGTCTGTGTTCCCTGTCCCTGGCTAGTGCCACACTGCAGAGGTGCTCCCAGACTCCAGGATGGCAGGAGGAAAGGACGGACAGATGAGGGGTGGGCTGAGGGGAAGGAGGGCTGAGCGGGAAGGGGAGAAGCGCGTGGCGATGCTCCGTGCGAGGGAAGCGGGGCGGCTCGCCGTGACCGGGGGGCTCTGCTGCGCTGGTCCGTCCCACCAGGCAGGACACAGCGCTGGTCACGTGTCGTTTCTGGTTTATTCCTTGGGTTATATTTATATATGTATATAGGGGAGGGAGCCCTGTGTCCCCGCCGCACCTGAGCCGCGGGTGGGGGGAGCAGCGAGGGGACCACTTCGTCCCTGCTGAGTCCCAGCGGGGCTGAGAGCAGGGCTGGGGGGCTCTGGCCGAGCAGGGGCTGGGGGTCCATCCCTGCCGCACACCGGGGGATTGCACTGAGTAAAGAGAGGCGGGGGGGGCCTGCCTGCAGCCCCCTCCCCTCCAGCCCGGCGGGGTCGGGCACTGAGGGTCACCTCTCTTTGGGTTGGGATGAAGGGGGGGTGTGCAGAAGGGCTGGGAAGTGGGAAAGGGACAGAGAGCTGGGACACAGCCCCAGGGAGGGTAGAGGGAGGGAGAGCCCCGGACCCCAGGAGAGGCTGGCAGGGGCATGCGGGCGGGGGGCTGGGCAAGGGACGGGGCAGAACCGGGCTTGCGTTCACCCGCCGTCGGATCCACGAAAGGTCTAAGATAGAAAAGAGAGAAGCTGTGAGTGGGGCCAAGAGCTGCCCCAGGGTGTCCCCGCGGCCCCCCATCACAGTGAGCTACGGCCACGCCGTGCAGTCCGGGTAGAAAAGCGGAGGCCGCGGTCACAGCCGGGTCTGTGCCTCGGGGATGTAGATCTCGATGCTGTCCGCGCTCTCGGTGGCCGAGCTCTGGCGGAAGGACGCGGCTCTCTTGGCCGCCAGGAGCCGCTTGCGGGCCTCCTGCCGCTGCCGGTCCACCGAGTCCAGGGAGCGCTCCTTCACAGGGTGCACCTTGGAGCGCGGCGGCTTCTTTGGTATCGGGGGAGGCACCTTCTTCTCCTCCTGCACAGACAACAGGGCCTTCAGGCCGGGACCTGCCGGGACTGGGCATCCCAGCCAGTGCCGGTGAACAGGAGTGCCGTGGGTGCCAAAGCCACGGTGAGGGGCTCCACAGACCCTCCCACATGTGCCCAAGCTGAAAGGCAGGACTGCTCATCCCTTCATCCATCCCGTGCCAGGAGCCTTCCCAGCCCCTTGCAGGTGGCTGGGATACCTCAGTGGGAGAACAGCCCTTCTTTTGCCTCAGTTTTTCCCAGGTCTGTTTTTCCACCGTTTGCTAAAAGCAGTTGCCAGAGGCAGCCCAGCAGTGGTTTGGGTGCAGATGTGTTTGGGGAGGAGGAGGGAGGGAGAAGTGACAGGGACAAGTACCTGTGGCACTGCCCTTACCTTGGGCTCCACAATCTTCCACCCATTGGCCTTGAGCTGCTGGAGCTCTGCAAACTTCATGCTGACATCCTCAATGGAGAGCTGCAGGAGGTCCCAGAAGCCAGCCAGGTCTTGGAAGGTGGGCACAGGGAAAGCATTGGGATCCTGTGGGGACAGAGGGACACAGTGTCATCCATGTCAACCCATGGGACATCCCATCCCCCAGTGCAGGGTGGGGCTCTATGTCCAGCTCTCCTCCATGGTGGTACAAAATCTGTTTTCCACTGGCTGAGGGAATGAGACCCCTGACCCACCACAGCTGACCCCCAGCACCACTGCCCACACTCACCATGTTCTGCTGGCAGAGGCGGTAGAACTGCTGCACCTTCTGGGACATGAGGAGCTGGGCGCTGCCCACTGCACTCCGGATCTTCTCCAGGACTGGGGGGGGAGAGCAGACACTCAGCAATCCTGGGGGGCACAGAGACTCTCCCCTGTGCACTGGGGACCTGCACCCCCAGGGCAGTGGGACAGCACGAGCAGCTCAGACCCCTCCAACACGTGCCACGTCTCCTCCCTCCTCCAGACCCCTCTAGTCCCAGAGGGTTTCCCCACGTGTCTTGCCCTCACCCAACCTCTTCAGCCGTGGCAGAGGAGACGTTTTAAGGGAGGACTGTGACTGTGCCCCCCAGCCCTACAGGACCCTACAGCCCCCTGACTCACTCTCCTCGGGCAGGTCATAGTCCTCGGCCTCCCTCTCCATCTGCTGGCACCAGCCTTCCATCTTCTCCACCTCTGCCTGCAGCAGTTTGATGAACCACTCCCCGTCTCGGTGGCAGGGGGAGGCGCGGCCGGAGTCGGGGAGGCTGCGGGAGCCCCGCTCGATCCAGGCGTCCCGCCGGGGCACCTCCACCGTGTCGTACTGCAGCTGGTAATCCTCCCGGTACGCCCACTGCCCCTGCGTGTGCACCGTCTTGTACACGGCGTACTGCCGGCCCGACTCGGGCTCCGAGGAGTGCCGCTGGAACGGCCGCCCGAACTGCAGGGCCTTGTCCTCGGTGGCCACGGCCAGGCCGGTGAAGCCCTCCAGCTCCAGGTCGGCCTGCACACCCGCCGTCACGCTGTTGGAGCGCTTGAAGCGCGCTCGCCTGTGGAGAGCGAGAGTGGGTGGGGACCCTCACGGCCACAGGGGACCCTCACAGCCACAGGGGACCCTCACAGCCATGGGGGACCCTCACGGCCACGGGGGACCCTCACAGACACAGGGGACCCTCACAGCCACGGGGGACCCTCACAGCCACAGGGGACATCCCCACTGTCCCATTCCCTCGCTGGGTACTGCAGTGGGCAGGAGCAGGGTGAGGGATGCCCACACGCAGGATGGGGCTGGGGATGCCAGTCTGGATCCCGGAGCGCTCAAGGCCCCTGGGGACAACCCGGAGCAGCTGCAACCCGCCAGTCCCTCATCTCCCCTGCTCTTAGCCCGTTTCCATGGCTACCGGCGCTGGACCGAGGATGGAGAGGAGCCTGCACTGCACGGGCTGCGTGGGCACAATGCCTGAGCTCCGCTCCCGCAGGCCGTGCAGGTCCTGGCACACCTGGCATTCCCACCCCAGCCAAAATGTCAGGGTTAGCTGAAGAATCACCCACAGGTTCATCTGCACCTGGCCCAGGCTCAAAACCCAGGGCTGAGCCCAACAGAGGAGACCCAGCACAGGGTGGGAACAAGGCAGACCCTTCCCTGGGCACCAGCAAGGGCAAAAGGGAGGTCAGATTCTGCCCCAGATAGGGGCAGCTGGTGTGGGATGGGGACGGTGCTGAGGTCTGGGGGTCTCAGCCAGAGGAGAGAGGGAAAAGATGCTGCGGGGCACTGGTGGTATGTGGAGCTCAGGAAGCCCCTGGGGACCCAATGCCCCTGTGCAGTGAGTGTGGCAGGTCTCAGCCCAGTCCAGCCATGCGGTACCTTTTGTCCTCCTCCACCTGCACCCCGATGGAGTGGAACTCCCTCTGGCTCCGGCTCTCCGTGTCCGAGTCGGAGGCGGCCTCAACCTGGCAAGGAGCAGAGGGAGAGCGCTGGAGGGCAGCCCCGGGTGCAGCCCCGAGGCTCAGCATCGCCCACACCAGCTCGGGCAGCCCATGGGGACGAGCGGAGCCCACCTGGACGCCGATGGACGGGCGCCACTTGCGCTGCCTTGCCAAGCTCCGCAGCTCCTCCCGGCCGGGGATGGCCTTGATGATGAGGGTGGAGGGCTTGGGAGCGGAGCGGGGCTGCACCGGGGGCAGGTCCAGGGCCACGGCCGTCACCTTGGAGCTCTCCAGGCTCTCGGCAGAGTTGCAGCGGGCCTTGGCGTCTTTGGACCAGGCGGGGCCGCGGGAAACTTCGCTGGGCAGGTAACTCTCGTGGGTGGACTCGGTGCTGCTCTGCGCCGTGACAGAGATGAGGGGTTTGGCTTTGGTTCCTGGAGGGATGGGAGGTGGAGCTTTTCTGTAACTGAAGGCTGTTGTGGGAGAGGCGCAGGATGAAAAGGTACGTGAAAACACAGACACTTGCTCATTTTCCACCACGAACAGGGGCCCTGGGGAATGGTGCCCGCCCCGGGGAATGGTGCCCACCTCCTCCCACAGCACAGGGCTCTCAGCCCCATAGGGTTTGCCCCTCAGCCAGCTGAGGCTGGAGCTCAGAGGGGCTGTTTGGCCAGTTTTTGGGATCAGAAACCACCCCAGACCCACACTAGCCACACTACTGCAGCACCCAGCAAGGGGCAGAGGTGGGGACAGAAATGGAGGGAAGGAGGGGATGGTAAACGGGAGCTGGGGACACTGAGCAGCCCCCTGACTGGGACTGAGCCACAGGCAGGATGCTCACGCCCTGTGCCGTGGGCCGGAGGGGACCAGGGAGGGGAGGGCAGCAGCAGCCCTTGGCAGGTGCCCGGGCGAGCAGGCGGGGAGATGTGGGAGTCCCTCACGCGGCCGACCCCACACCACCCCCCGGGACTCACAAGTGCTGGGCTTCAGGATGCTGCTGGTGATGGGCGGCCCCGGCGGGGCCGACATGGAGAAGAGCGAGAGGCAGTCGTCGTCCTGGGAGCATCCCGCCTGGATGGCCCGCAGGTAGCTGTGGCTCCGCATGCGGAAGCAGCCGGGCAGGTCCAGCGCCTCCACGGCCTGCGACTCCACCTCGCCGAAAACCGACTCGCACACGGCCTCAAACTGGTGGTTGAGCTCGTCGTTGATCTGGGGAGAGTGGCAGGTGAGGCTGGGGGTGGCGAGCCGGGGCAGGAGGTGCTCAGAGGGACATCCACCACCCTCCTGCCCGATCCTGCCCTGCAGCACCCGTGCCACAGGACCTACCTGGCCGGTGGTGAAGGAGCGCCCGTAGCTCTGTCCCCGCGGGAGCATTCGCGGTGGCGTGCAGCAGCTGGGACAGTTACAGATATATGAATCAGAATAGTGCCTACTTGCAAACCTAATGAGAGACAGTGGGAATAGAAGGGATCGCACCAAAAGCAACACATTCCAGCAGAGCACTTGGAAACGCAGCTGCAGAGATGCTCCCGCCGGCCACCGCTGCCGTCCCCGCTCCTACCTGCCCCAAAAACTGTCGCCCACTGAGACCGGAGCACATCCCAGTCAGCCCCCTTTGAACATGCCTCTTCTCCCCACTCTCTGCACGTGGCTGCAGCAGCAGGTCCCCCCCGAAGCCCAGCACAGCCACGTCCCCCGCAGTGCCCTGACACAGCGCAGACAGGGCTCGGTGTTGCCGCACTGGGGAGTGTGGCCGTGAGCGGGGACGGTGCCGTGAGCAGGGACGATGCCACTCATCCTCCCAGGGAGCCCCAGCCTGTGGCCCCGCTGCTGCCCGCAGTGCTGGGACGGGGCCGGGAGGTGACAGCCCTTACTTGGTCCTGGCCTGGTCGGCGCTGGAGGAGCGGCGGTAGCTGTCTCGCCGCGTGGCCGCCCTGGGCAGCACTTTGGCGCTGATGTCCGAGTCGGCGCTGTCCTCGTCGCCCATGGCCTTGATGTAGCTGCCGCTGCGCATCCGCCGGCACGGGATCTCCCCGTCCTTGCCCGCTGGGTACCCGCTCCACTCGTCCTGCGGCACCTGGAGCAGGAGGCGAGTGTGGGAGGACGCCGTGGCCGGGGTCCCGCAGGCAGGACACAGAGCCGAGCCAAATGCCGGCCCACGCCCATCCCAAATCCAGTACGTGTGCCCAGCTCCCCTGCCCTCCCCACATACCCCAGAGCCGCAGGGACAGACCCTGGGGGCTCTGACCACCTGGTAAGGCCCCTAAATCCAGGAGAGGTGATCCCTCCTAACAGCCACAGCTCCCCATTCCCAAAACACGGGGCAGTGCAGCAGCTCCCACCTCGCGGCCCCTCTGGCGGGAGCGCCTGGGCCAAATCCCACCCATGCCAGCGCAGCGCCCGCCTGACGTAGCAGGCACCAGTCCTGCCACGTGCCACTGACGCCAGCGCCACCAGCACCACGGGGTCCTTACTAGGCTGTGACAGGGGGATGGTGTCCCCCGGGGCCCATGGGGAGGGCAGTGGGGCCGGCACCCTGCCCTGATGCCCCCATTGCTGGCGGAGACAGGCCCTGGCCACCCCCACCCCCAGCCCGCACGGCATTGCTGCTCCCTGTCTCCTTCCCCCAGGAAAGGGAGAGAAGAGTTAATTAGTTTTTAATTGGAAGGGGGGTGACCTAGAAGGGTGACAAGGCAGGCGGTGGCACCCAGCCAGGCTCGTAGGCAAGATAAAAGCCATGAGGAGCGAGCGGGCACAGGGTTGCTGGTGGCCCCGAGCTGACAGAGCTGGTCTGACCCCAAATCCAGCCTGCGCGGGGCAGGAGGCAGCAGATGGGCTTCAAGGGGACAGCGGGGACCGGCGCGGGACACTGGGGGATGGGACACAGGCGCCAGGGACGTGGAGCAGAGCTGGAGCATCCCCACAGCATCCTGAGCTGTCCCAGCTCGCCCCAAGGCACCATCAGCCACAGTCCCCTCACCCTGCCTGGCCCCTCACCTGCAGGTACTGGTATGCTCGGTCTTTGGCCTTTGCTTCCTGAAGCATCAAGGTCTTCTCGGTGCCACCAGCACTGGGATAGGCTTCCCGGGCCTGGCTGACGGTCATGGTGTGCCAGGCACTCCTCTTGAGCGTCTGGCCGTCCAGAGACATGGACATGCCGGCACAGGCCAGGCATTTTCCTTCCCCGCCGCCCTTTAGACTCTTCAAGGTCAAGTCTCTGAAGGCACTTTCGGGAGCGTCCACGCAGTACTGGGTGCCCTGGTCGGCGGCGTGCCGGCCCGACACCATGTAGCTGCTGTCGCTGTCCAGGTTGTCGTCGGAGCTCCACCAGCCCAACATCTTGGACCGGTGCCGGGAGTCCACCTTACGGTCCTTGCTCTTGCTGCGCTTGCCGTGGCGGGACTGGTGGTGGTGGTGGTGATGGTGGTGGTGGTGGTGGTGGTGGTAGCCGTCCCCGCGGCCGTCCATCTTGGCGCCGTTGTAGTCCCGCTTGGCCGGCGCCTCCAGGGAGTGGGACTTGGCGAAGAGCTTCTGGACGGAGTGGACGAGGTGGCGGATGCGGCTGGGGCTCTCGCTGCGGGGCTCGGCGCCGCCGGCCCGCGGGTACTGCAGCGTGTGGAAGCCGTCGTGGTGCAGCGGCAGCTGCTTCTCGAACTGGTCCAGCAGCGTGGGGGGCAGGCGGTTGATCTTGCTGGCGGGGTGGGCGGTCGCCATGCATTCGTCGCAGGAGTCGTAGGGCTGCTGCGCGTGGTGCATCCTCGGGAAGGTGCTGCTGGCGCTGGCAGAGGGCGGCTCGCTCAGGGGCCCGCCCGGGCACTCGCTGGCCGCGCCGGGGCTCCGCGCCGGGCAGTGGGGATGCTCCAGGGAACACGGCTCGCTGGGGCTGAGCAGGTAGGGCGGCCGGCCCTCGGGGCCGTGCGGGATGTAGTCGGCGGGATGCTGGCAGTCCTCTGGGATGCAGCGGCAGCGGTGGCCGGAGGAGGGCTGTGTCTGGCTACGCTCCCCATGGTAGCCCTTCATGGTGTCAGCATCCTCCCCGTAGCCTCGGCATCCTGCAGGGATGCCCCTGCGGGCTCACCTGTGGGGACAGGGACAGGCACAGTGTGAAGCTCCCCTCTGTGCCCCACCACAAGCAAAACATTGGGGCTGGCCCAAAGGAACGAACTGAGTTGACTGAGAAGGTCCCAGGGTGGGATTCGGCCCTGGCTGAGCCCCTGTGAAGTGCCAGAATCATGGGGCGAGGCGGGCACGGTGCTGGGGGTCAGCACCCAGGGTTACCCCCAGCTCAGCTGCTCGGAGGGGGCAGAGGGAAGGAGAAGGCACTGCCGGCAGCGATGCAGGCAGCAGGGCCTGCAGACGGTGAGGAAGGACACGCTGCCATCAGCAGATCCTTGTTTTCTTCTCCAACACCAAATATTGTGAAGTGTTTCTCCGTTAGGAAAACGGTTCTGGCTGAGCTTTTCAGCCGCCGCGATTCACAGCCCCGCTAATGAGCTGCCGCGGGGCGCGGGGGGGCCAAGCTCCGATGGCTCCACCCGGCCCGTCCTCCCCGCACGGAGCACCCAACGGCAGGTGGAGACCCACAGCCCCGACCCCCCTACCTGCCAGTCCCCCCGGACAGGGGGCCAGGAGCAGAGGTGGCTGTGCTGTGTGTGGGGCAGCCCCACACTGAGACAGGAGGAGGGGTGGCACCGAGCCAGGCTGAGCCCGTGCCAGCCGCCGGAGCCGCCTGCACCCGTGGAGGTTTGTGTTCCTTACGGTCCCTCAAAGGCTCTGCCTTTGGTTTGACTGTAAATGAGGAAATTACTTATTCTCCAGAGCATCTCGGCTAATTAGCAGGCATCGTTAGTGCTCTTGTTATCATATTTGGGCAGGGTGCTGTGGGCAGCATGTCTCTGAGACTGGCTGCAGGGCAAGGTGACTGTGGGACATTCCCTGCGGCACGTGGGGTGTGTTGGACCACGGGGACGGGAAACGAGGGACACTGGGAGGGTCAGGGCTGTGAGGGAGGGGATTGTGTTCCTGGAGGAGCCCCAGAAGACAGAGCAGCTGGGGGTCCCCAGGGAATGTGGGGATGAGCAGTGATGGCACGTTGGCTGTGAGGAGCAGACAGGGCCCTACTAAGCCACTGCCACCACCTTCCTTCCCGGCTTCGGGGCTGGATGGCTCCATCCTGCACCGCTCCCCACCCTCACCACTGTGCTCCTGCTCTAACGAGGCTCCCTAATTGCTGTGTCTGAAGGGAAGGATGTGCAGCTGGTACAGAAGATGCCTCTCCCCTCCCGGGAGAGCTGCTGCGAGGAGCGGGAGCAGCAGGGTGGGATGGAGCTGCCTCCCTGCCTGGGGATGGAGCAGCAGGATGGATGGATGGACGGATGGACGGACGGACAGACAGACAGACAGGCTCCCAGCCCGGCTCTGCCTGCGCGGGCTGAGCTATCATCTCCTGCTCGGGGAGGGAACTCTCAGCTGATCCAAATATTGTTGCTGCAGCGGGAAGAAGAAGTCAAAATAGCTGCGGAGCCCGTCACCACGAGCCTGCCGGGCTTTTGTGCTCGGCAGGTGCAGGAATTCAGCAGCGCCGGAACCCGCCGGCGAGGCAGCGCCGCGGCTCCCCCGCAGCTGCCGAGCGATGGCAGCAGATGGGGCCGTGCCATGGCGAGGGATGTACTCCCAGCTCACCATGGCAGAGCCGTGCCAGCACCTGTGTCCCGCCCAGGGACCAGCCGGTCCCCCCGTGGGCACCCTGGGGGTGGGGAAGGGCTCAGGAGAGATCCTGTGGGGCTCAGCACAGGCAGCACAGCCGGGATCCCCGTCCCTATGTCCCGGTGGGGATGGTCACACACAGAGGATGGGAGAAGCTGCCGAGCCTGCTCCTCTGCTCTGTCCCAGGTGGGCACTGTGGGCAGGAAGCTGGCACATGGAGCTGGGGGAGCTGGACAGAGCGTGACTCGTGGGCTGGTGGCTGAGAGCTGGAGCTGTGTCTCACCAAAGGCTGTTCCACTGCTCAGCCCTCAGGATGGAAGGATTTGTGCCACCAAACCACAGACTCAAATCAGGGGGGAAATACCCAGCCTGGCTGAATTTTGTGCCATTTAACACCAGGGTAATTACCACCAGTGGGAACCTACCGCCCACACGATTATGTGCTAGGATAAACTGGAAGAGCATAATTACCATTACAAATAACTCACTCCTTGCCTTTATTGCTTCCAGAGCCTCAAGGAACTCCCCCCGGCCACTCCTCATTGCCACCCTCCCTCTGAAATCTCTTCCTGCCCAAGGGTCAGCACAGGGAGGACAGGGGCTTGTAGTCCCCTGTGCTCTGAGCCACCCCAAAATTCAGCCTCCTGCTTAATTTCCCATAGGAGCACTTGGCAGAGGCGGTTCCACTTCCCGGCATCCACCCCATGAGATCCCTGCCTTGGAGGCAGCTCTGTGCCAAGGCCCAGGGCTTGTGGGGATTCAGGGCAGCCCCAGCAGGAGCTGGAGCTTCCCTTGGACCCTGTGGCACCCAAGCTCCCTCCAGCTCTGAGACCACCAGTGGGGAGGTGACGGGACAGCAAATCCCCACCACGGTGTCTGGGCCTGGGGAACTGCCCTGGTACAGGGTAAGACTGGGTTTTCCAAGATCTCCGGGTCCAACCCCGAGAGCTGGGGTTGATGGCCCCGCACTCGGGGGGTCCTGGCCCCCCGCCCTTCCCAAGCAGCCCCTGGCGGGGGCAGCACGTGTGGGGTCCTGGCACGGCACTCACCGCCCGGCGCTCAGGGGGATGCTGTCCTCATGGCCCCGGCCGGCAGCGGCTCCTCCACGCTGGTTCTCCCGGGGGCAGCAGGCTCTGGGGGAGGAACATGAGGGGGGTGAAGCCCAGGGAGGAAGAGCCAGGATATCCCTCCCCAAAACCTCCCCTGACCCACCTCCCTGTGTGTTTTTTATCAGCCCAGCCTTCCCTCCTCCCCTGAGGCCGCCCCACACCAGTGCTGCCTGTACCAGCAGTGACAGGGACAGCTCTGCACGGCCACGGCCACGTGTTTCACCCAGTTTAGCCCAAAAACCATCCCCGGCCCCATCCTGTTATGCAATTCCCTGCCAGCGGGTGCCGGAGCCGGCCCAGCGGCCACCTCGCCATCGACTTTGATTTGCTCCAGATCCGGCCTCACACTCCACAAAACCTCCTCCCGCCACCCCTTTGCCTTCCAGCGTCAGCAAAGGGAGGTTTTTTCCCAGCCTCCAGCCCAGGAGAGGCGCGAGCTCGGCCCGTTCTGCTCGACAAATTAGCGCCAGGTTCTGCCAGCGCGGGTCCTGCTGGGGACCGGTATGGCTTCGGGATGAAAGCAGGAGAGAACAAACACGCAGCGTGAGCGCCCGGCACCACGAGCTGGAGCCTGGGAAAAAAATAAAATAAAGTGCTTTTCCCACTTAGGGGCTGAACAAATTTGATCTACGGTCGTCGGAAGAAAATAAATATATGGAATACTGCCAGGTCGCTTTCCACCACGCTTTTAATCTATTTGCTCTTTCCCAATTCATTGTAAGTGAGCAGGATTGTGGAAAGCAAACATTTTATTTTATTACTAATTGCTCTGTTATTTTATGAGGCTGAATTAGTGAAATTTGCTCAGCCTGGAGGAAAAGAAAAGAGGGGCTTAGTAAGAGATCAGCTAATTTAGCACAGAAAGGGGAAAGGAAAGGGGAAGGGGAAAGGAAAGGGAAAAAGAGAAAGGGGAGGAAGAAAGTGGAAAGGGGAAGAGGAAAGAGGAAAAGTGAAAGAGGAAAGGAGTGTGAGCAAGATGCAAATACCAGAGTGAATGTGCTCAATGCAATCAGGAAATCAAACCCAGTCACTGTTAATAAAAGAAAACAGAGTGGCTGCAGGGGGGCACTGCCCAAAGAGGGCTGTGAGGGGCAGGATCCAACTGGGCACTGCTGGAAAAAAGGGATGAGGCAAGATTTTTAAAAAGTCATGAGAGACAAACAGCAGCTGAAGAATTGCAAATGTGAGCGGAGGAAGAAATGTTTGCTGAGGCCACTGAGAAGGGCCAGCAGCGCTGTGCTGCCCCACACAGCTGCCCTACACCCCGACAGAGCTGGGGGGCTCTGGCACCCCGAGCCAGGGGCATCTCCCCTGGCTCAGCCCTGCCCTGGCACATCCCTCCTCACTGAGCACAGGGGCTTCCCAGCACCAGACCCAACCCCACAGTGTCCCAGGGCTCCCACTGGCAGGCCGAGGACAGGCCGTTCAACGGGCCGGGCACGTTATTAAGCACATGATTAATTCTGGCACCAGCCCCAGCTGCCTGACAGCTCCTTCTCAGGGCTGGGAGAGCGAGCGTGAGAGGTGCTGCCTCTGCTGATGCAGCGGTTGGTGGGATGAGAAATCCTGCAATGCAGCACTGCTTCTTAATGAGCCATTTGTCTTTGAGTCTTCTTCACTCATTACCATGCCGGGAGAGGGATGGGAGTCGCCCCAAGTCCCCATCTGAGCAATTACTCGTGGAGCAGAGCGAGGAAATACGGCCACGGCGCTCCCAGCTGCCAGGGATCCCGGCCTGGCCGCCAGCACTGGGACTCCCCAGCACAACGCCAGTGCCTCTGGCTGCTGCCACCACGGGGGGAGCAGGACCCCCTGCCCAGCACACACAGCCCAGAGTGACCCACTGGGACACCCTGGTCCCCAGAGCTGATTCCCTGGGACAGGAGCCACGCTGCTCCAACAGGCTGTGTGAGGGAGCTGGAGCATCCTGGGAGCTGGCAAGGCAAAGCCAGCAGAAGTTGGCTGAGAAGGAAAGAGGTGGCACAGGGAATGGGCTGTGGCAGCATCCCCACGTGGGTGCAGGCAGGGGTGAGATGCCCCATGGCACAGGCACCTCCAGCCCCCTCGGCCCCACAGTGATGCTCATCCTGCCCACGGGAGCCAGGACATGGCACACAGGGAGCCAGAGGTGGGACCCCACGGCCAGAGCAGCAGAGCAGCTGACTGAGTCAGGAAGCCACACTGGAGGGACCCCCAGGCCAGATGGGGCCCTGGGGACCCCCGCCCATGCCAGCTGGCACAGGGTTCGTGGGCGCTGCGCCGCACGGATGAGCACCATCACCAGTGATGCCCACAGACAGCTTCCCTCCCATGGACACCCTCGACAGCTGCCTGCACTGCCTGGGGCCAGCAGCAGCCAGCATAGTGCTCTGGTGCCCTCCAGGGCTGGGTGGAAAGGGGGGACGTGCAGGTGACACTGGGGAGCCCAGCGGGATGGAGAGACAAACAGCCTGATGTTCACCTGCAGCAAAGGGGAGGGACAAACAGGGACATCCCTCTGTGCCACATTGGTCCTGGGGGCTCTGCCCAGGCCCTCACTGGGCACCTCACTCCAGCATCCCCAAAGAGTCAGGCCTGCCTGAGTGTCCTGGTTTCAGCAACACTGAGTCAGAGGAACTTTCCAGGCTGTGGGTGCCGTGGCAGCCCCCGAGGCAGTGCAGGATGAACCCCATTTCCCCATCACCCCCTTTTTCCCCTCCCATCCACATGGAGCCACAGGATGGGCCACATTGCCAGGGCTTAAAAAGCCACTTACCTCCCTGGTGGTGCCGTGCAATGCCTTAAGCCAGGGATCACTCCAAAGCCTCTTTGGAGAGCTGGGGGCAGCATGGCCTTAGCACTGAGTGTGGCAGTGGTGACAATCTCTGGCTGTCCCCTGCCCATTCCTGCCAAGCCCCCAAGGTGGGCTGGCCCTTCCATCCCCAGTCTGCTCCCCCCAGGCCGTGCCAGGGCTCTCACCTGCCACCAGCATTTCTCCTCATCCTGCTTTCCCCAGCACGTGGCACCTTCCACTCCAACCTCAAATAACACCCATCCCGACCAGTTCCCTTTGCAACACCATCCTGTCCCACGGCTCTTCCCACGGCGAGGCCACAGGGGCCGGGGTTTCCAGGAACAGCAAGGAAGCAGAGCCCTTGGTCCCTGTGGCAGCCAGGGTGCTCTGGGCCATCGTGTCCCGTTCCCAGGCTGAATCCCCCGGGGCCAGGGCTGGGATGAGCACAGTGAGCCCGAGGCGTGGCACAGCCCAGCTCGCCAGTGGAGGACCCAAAACTGCCGCTGTAATGGATGGGCTTAATTTGCAAAGCTGATGAAAACCTAAATATTTAAATACATAATTCTGCACAAATGCTCTTAGCGCGGGGACGGAGCGAGGGGGGGGCACGGCTGGCGGGTGAGGACGTGGCAGGGATGGGGACAGTCTGGCAGGACCACGTGGATCACCTGGGCATTGGCATCCCCATCACACACGGCATGGGGACCATGCACAGCCTCGACCCTGCAGGGTGAGCACCCACAGAGTGAGTGCCATGGGGTGCCCTGCGAGGGGTGCTCTGCCACTGGCATCCGAGTCCTTCTCCACCACCAGAAGTGTCCCACAGGGAGCTGTGGGGAAAAGGGAGCGTGGTCCAGGGCTGGGAGCTGTGAAGGGCAGCAGGATGGGCCCCCGTGGAGATTACACCACCGATATTCCTGCTACAACAGCTTAGAGATAAAAGAGATTTACAGGATTTATCAGCAATACAAGTGGAATATTTAATTTTAGCTGCCGGGGAGGAGTGGGGGCTCGACCTGGGGGTGTGTGGAGGTGGGCCCGGGGCTGTCCTGCCTTTGGGGAGGCATTTCCAGCCCTTGGGAGAAAACCGATTCCAGGGCTGTCCCTGGGGGCTGGGGGGGCCAGGCCATGCCATGGTAGTGGGATTGGGGTGCCCAACCTGCCCCTAATCCCATCAGACTCTCTCCTGCCTGGCACGGCCTGTGCCAGCACGTGGGATGATGCTGTGGGATCATCCTTGGATGAGCCACGTGTGTGGCCCCAGTGCCAGGGATGCTTGGGGGGGGCTCAGGAGGGGCCCTGGCCCCACACACCGCCTGTGGGCCATCCCTGAGCTGGTGTGTGGCTTCCTCACCGTGCTCTCCTCTGCCCTGATGAGTGAGTCCCCAGCAAGGCTGTTCCTGGGCAAGGATGTGCCTGGCTGAGGCCATTTGCCAGCCAGGGCATGGACTGTGCAGGGAATGGGGCTGGAGGCAGCAGGGGCCAGCCAGCCCCAAGCCCAGCACGGGGGTCCCCACGGTGCCACAGAGCCAGGTGCCCGTCCTGCCTCACCTCTCCGTGGCCACGCTGGCGCAGGTGCCGTTGCGGGGCGGGCTGGGGGAGGATGGCAGAAGATGAATGAGGGAGTCGGGAGGCTAATGGCATTGTCTGGAAAGTAGGTCGTGTGCTGAGCAAAAAGATATTTATATCAGAGCTCGTTCCCCCGCAGAAGCTCCCGAGCTGGGTGCAGGCAGCACCACGAGCCCGTGGCCACAGCCCCAGCACCCTATGACACCCCACACCCCCACGGCACCCCCTGCCCAGCTCCACACCCAGCTCTGCCACCCTGGGCACTCACTGGCCCCAGAACTGCCCCACTCAAGAGCTAGCAATGCCAGAGGTAAAGTTACCCCAACGGAATGGGAGCCACGGCAGCTCTGTGCCTTTTGCTGACCTGGCTGCAGGTGCCGGCCAGCACTGGGTTATTTTTATTTTAATGCAACCCTTGCCAAGGTGTGATATTGCCCTGGACGCTCCCGAGATGGGCACAGGGTGCCCACGGTAGGTCGTGCTCAGCCCAGCCCGGTGCTGGCTGTGGCACCACGGCCCCTCTCCCTGCAACCAGCCCTGGCCAGGTTCCTCACACCCTGCGTCACTCCTGTCCTGAGCTCCAGCCACATGTCAGCCTCGTTGCAAAGCTCAGCCACCTCCTTTCCTGCTGGGAGGAGACCTGTGCTCCAGGTCCCCTCCCTCGCACCTCCAACCTTCCCAGAAAAGCCAAGAAATCATCCCAGTTGGCCCAGACGGAGCTAGTGTCGGCCAAGAGGTTTTGCCCCCCCCGGCCGTGCTGCCCCAGTGGCTGCAAACACGATCCAGCCAGTGATCCTGGGGCCACCCAGCCCTGCTCTCCTGTCCCCATCCCCGTCCCCATCCCCATCCCACACCTGGCAGCCTCTGATCCGGCACGGGAGCAGGTTCATTTCCCGTCAGAGCTGTGTCGGCTGAATTTACAGCCTCGCTCCGAGTTATTAATAATAATGGCCTCACTCTTAAGTAGGGCTTTTCATCTGCCTCGCAGCCCTTTCCAGAGGACGTCTGCAGCATTATCACCATTTTATTCTCGTTTCAGTGGGCACAAGAGTGAGATGGAGAAGGGGCAGCCGTGCCAAGCAGCCGAGCAGGGGGGGTGTGTGGAGTGCCTGGTCCCACGGGGAGCGTGGCCACGACCCTCCCAGGGAGGCTGGAATGCTGAGGCCCTGGAATGCCGAGGCCCTGGAATGCCGAGGCCCTGGAATGCCGAGGCCCGGTGGATGCGGTCGGGCACGAGGCTCCTGCCGGCCGTGCCGTGGTGATTTACCCCGGCAGCGAGCCCAGGCCCTGCCGCACGGATAAATCCACTCCAGGCAGCAATAAACCAGCGTCACCGCATCGGTAATCCCAGCGCTCCCACCGCTGGGACACATCCAGGGGCGACGCGCCTGTGCCGATAAATCCCGGTTCCGTGTCAGCAGGGAGGTCCCTGGGGGGGGGGGATATTCCCAGCAGAGCCGTGGCCGGAGGGGTGGGTGCCACTAGAAACCCGAGGGAGACCCAGGCACAGCACAGCAGCCTGGGGATGGATCCAGCACACGGGATTGCAGCAGCCACGTGGGACTGGGGACATCCCCGAAACGCCCCCCACGTGTCCCCCCGTGGTGCCCACCCGCCCCGGGCACCTCCGGTGTCTCCCTGCCGTGTGCCGCAGCGGGGCTCGATGGGCAGATTTATTCCCCTGTAAAAGAGCTTTGATCCCAAGTTATTTTTTGTTTACTAGCAACAAGGTATTGTAAATACATCTTTGCCGATAATTATAGAGTCTGGGCGCACACCTTAATCTCCATAAAATATCAGATGCTACAATTTGCCTGATTTAATGAGATCGGAGGCTGATAAGCCGCTGAGGTAAGCTGTAAACCTGGGGGGGAGGAGGGA